TTTCATGGCCATAAGTGGAATTCTAATTCCTCTTCTCCCACAGATTTCCCAGATGCCCTTGCTCAAGTTTCTTTTATCTCTTTCCCTTAAAATGATTTTTCAAGTTTTTTTCTCCTCAAATATCTCATACTATACTTGTCATCAATTACAGCCCTCTGCCTTTTATTTTTTACCAAAGTCAATTTTTTTAATTTATCTTTATTGTTGAAAGTATTACAGATATTCTCTGTGCTTTTAAGTTCCCCAGTTAATTTCTCCCCAGCCAGTGTGGCTTATTGATTATCAACCTATGAACCAGGAGGTCACAGTTTGATTCCCAGTCAGGGCAAATGCCTGGGGTTGAAGGCTCATTCCCCAGTGTGGGGCATGTATGAGGCAGCCAATGAAGGATTCTCTCTCATCGTTGATGTTTCTATCTCTCTCTCCCTCTCCCTTCCTCTCTGAAATAAAAATATTCAAAATAAATAATAATAATAAAGTATAATAAAAACTGTCCTATTTACCACACTCCTTTTAAATATTTGAAAAGTGAATAAAACTCTGACCATAACATTAGAGAACTTTTTGGTTTTTCTGGTTCAGAAGTCATATTACTCTGTAGAGGATATTATTCAGTCATTGGGCCTAAACCCACAGTCGGACATCCCCCGAGGGGTCCCAGATTGGAGAGGATCTAGGCTGGGCTGAGGGACATCCCCCCACCTACCCAGTGCACAAATTTCGTGCACAAGGCCTCTAGTATACATATATTTAGAATATAATAGAAGTAATCCTGTTATTTGCAGATTTTTAATATTTCCTACAACTTCTGTGATATCATACTATGTTAGTATAGTTTAGGTAACTATATTATACTTAAAATCTTTTTTCTTGCCAAAATCGAAATCAGAGGATAAAGCGTCGGCCTGCGGACTGAAAGGTCCCGGGTTCGATTCCGGTCAAGGACATGTACCTTGGTTGTGGGCACATCCCCAGTAGGGGGCGTGCAAGAGGCAGCTGATCGATGACTCTCACTGATGTTTCAAACTCTCTCTCCCTTCCTCTCTGTAAAAAATCAATTTGGCTCCACACAAGGATTATTTTTTTTAAAAAACAACTTTTTTCTTAAAATATTAATATTTATTGCATGTGATATTATATTTAAGATAATTTTTCTTAAAAATACATATATTTTTTAAATTACATTGTAGGAAAATTAATATTGAAAGATGTTCAGGATCCACTGAAGAAAAATTAATATTAAAAGATGTTTAGGATCCATTGAGTGAAAAAAAATGATAAAATGGAGCAAAACGTATTTCTATCTACATGAATATATTCATAAAAAACTGGAAGGGTGTAGACCAAAATATTAAACATTGGTTTCACCTCTGGGTAAACAAAAATCATAGCTGATCTTTATTTTCTTCTTTTTGCTCTATTAAAAGCATGTATACTGCAGAAAATTACTTTTGTTAAAAAAAAAAAAAAAAGTTTCTAATTCTACCTAGGGAATAGCCAGAGAATGGGGGGAGAGCAGTTAGGGGTGATCAGGCAGCAGGCAGGTCAGTGGTTAGGACCCAACGGTCCTATATTGTGAGAGGGATATCCAACCGTCGGTTTAGGCCTGATCCCGCAGGGATCTCTGTGGGTTTAGGCCTAAACCAGTGGTCGGACATCCCCCAAGGAGTTCTGGATTGCAAGAGTGCACAGGCCGGTGCTAGGGAACACCCCCCCTCCCAGTGGGCCACTAGTTAATAAATAATAAAAAATAATAAAACTGTTTCACATAAAACTGTAAATCTAATTTGCCCCACCCTGTATGTTGAACATTGATCAAAGAAATTAAAGATCTCAGACAGATAGAAACATTTTATTCATGAATTGGAAAGCACAATTTAGTAAAATTGTCAATTCTCCCCAAATTGATTACAAATTTAATGTAATTCCTATCAAAATCAGTTTTTGTAGATATACAGAAAATTATCTAAAATTCATATGTAAAATCAAAAGAACTAGAATAGAAAAAACAATTTAGAAAAAAAGAATACGTAGGTAGAATCTCTCTATCCAATTCTAACACTCACATAGCTACAGCAATAAAGACTGTAGGGTACTGGCAGAGGGAAAAACACACAGATCAATGAAACAAAAAGAAAACCCAGAAATAATCCCACAGAGGTACAGCTGATTATTAACAAGGGTGTTAAGCAATTCAATGGAGAAAAGACAGTCTTTTCAACAAAGAGTACTGGAATAACTGGATGTCCACTGAGGAGGAAAAAGAACTTGACCTAAACCTTACATTACCCAAAATTTAACTCAAATAAGCTTCAGGCTTAAATGTAAAATATAAAACTGTAAAACTTAAAAAAAAAATCTGGAAAAAAATTTAGCTTCCACTCTAAAAATCAATGGAAAAAAATATCCAGTATAACTTCATCTTAACTTGATTATTTCTGTACAAGATTACCTTAGATATAAACAAAAATAACAATTAACAAAAAATAATTTAGATATGCATTGAAAACTGGGGCAGGGAGTACATGTATTGTTACCATGATTGCTACAAATTTGCATCAGAGAATCTTTTGAACCAAGGAATACTAATAGAGTGAAAAAGTTGCCTGCTACAATTAAATGTAGTTTGAAAATAAATATCTTAATCACTAGACTCAATGAACACTTGGCCAAATTCATCTGTTAGCATTACTGTACGTTTCATTACAAGAGGCAAGAAGGCCTGGGTAGTAAAACTTTCACACAGACAATAATGAAGTAAAAGCCATCCTGAGCTTCTCAACAAAAAGCTCAAAAATTATCTTAAACCAGACAATTAAACTGCTTTAAGAAGAATAAATTCCAGACTCACTCTACTGGGATTTGAATTAATTTGTGTCCACCCAGAAGCTGTGAAAGTGGACTTATTTGGAAATAGGGTCTATGCAGATACAGTCAAGTTAAAATGAGGTTATACTAAATTAGGGTGAACACTAATTCAATGACTAATGTTCTTATCCAGGGAACTTTGATCATGACACAGAGGAAGAATGCCATGTGGCAACGAAGACAGAGACTGAAGCAATGTGTATACAAGTCAAGGAACACCAAAGATGCTGAGAACCACCAGAAACTAGGAAAAAGAATTGGAAGATTCTTCCCCTGAGCCCCCAAGAAACAGTCAACCCTGACACATCGATTTCATATATCTGGCCAACAGAAAAGTGAGACAATAAGTTTCTACTGTTCTATGCCATCAAATTTGTAGTAACTTATATGTTTCTACAGGCCTGGTGCACAAAATTTGTGCACTAGAGGGGAGGGGGCGAGTCCCTCAGCCTGGCTTGCACCCCCTTGCAGTCCGGGACCCCTTACCGCAGGCCCACTCATGCTCCTTACCACTCAAATTGCTGCTCCTTAGCGCTGTCTTGGAGGCAGGAGAGGCTCCCACCACTGCCACTGCGCATTCACCAGTAGTGAGCCCAGCTTCTGGCTGAGTGCCATTCTCTCTGTACAAGTGCACTGACCACCGGGGGCAGCTTCTGCATTGAGCATCTGGCCCCTGGTGGTCAGTGCACATCATAGCAACAGGTTGTTCTGGTTATTCAGCCATAATGGTCACTTAGGCTTTTATTATAGAGACTAAAAGCCCAGTGCACAAAATTCATGCACTGGTAGGGTCCCTAGCAGCTGCAGGCCAGGGCCTCCCCCCTTTCCCCCAGCTGGCCCCGCCCCCTGGTCAAAATCCCAGATGACCAAGGGTCAAGGGGATAATTTACATACTGTGCTTTTATTATAATAGGATTGCAGCCCTGGAAAACTAATACATCCAATTAGCTAGTATTATGTAATTTAAATAATCTCATCATTTGCAGTATGAGAAATACTTATCTTCAGCCTGAAAACTGAGAAAAATACTTACCGGTAGTTCACCAATTCAGAACAACTAGAGATAGCATCACCCATTTAATGCATTGTCTAACACAGGGATGAATATGACATTAAGACTCCAATGGACAATGCATGCACATTGCTAAGAGCCATCAGAGATCCAATGAGGTGCTCACAAAGGCCAGTAAAGCACCTGCATGGAGTAGGGATTCAGTTCACCAACAGCCCTATAGGAAGCTAGGTCTTTGTTGAAGTCCCCTGCTGGAACACAAATTTAACACAGAACTATAGATCACAACAAGTTAATCTTTCACATTTAAAGTCCTCTTATCATTTATAACATCACAGTGATGACAGCTTTTCTAATAGTTAATTACTGGTAGGTAACTTGTGGGTTATAATTTCACCTTCTATTAGTTCTAAGTTCCCCAAAATATTATTTTTTTAAGCCCAGATTCAGTTTATTTCAAACCGTGCAAATATGTTTGACTAATGTCACATACTAGTCTGACAGAATGAGGCAATATCTATGGTATTTCCAAAATTGATGGACATTTTTATATTTTATCATCCCTATGTCTTTAGCATGAACTAAAAAGAGATACTGCATAGGATGACATATAAACTTCTGCCCCATTTATTTTTTATCAAATGGACATTTCTAAGACTCAACTTTTACTTGGAACACACATTAGAAGTGAATTCAAATTTTCCAAAAAAAACTGTTCCTTTGTTACTATCTCTCCTGATTAAAATTTGTCAGCACAACAATGTATCTCCAATAACTGAATATGATTAATTAGAGCATTGGTCGGGAAACTCATTAGTCAACAGAGCCAAATATCAACAGTACAATGATTGCAATTTCTTTTGAGAGCCAAGTTTTTAAACGTAAACTTCTAACACCACTTCTTCAAAATTAGACTCACCCAAACCGTGGTATTTTGTGAAAAAGCCAAATCCAAGGGGCCAAAAAGCCCCATGTGGCTCGTGAGCTACAGTTTGCTGACCACAGAATTAGAGCAACTGGCAAACATAAGAATGAAAATATTGACCACAAGAAGTCACCTTCCAGGATTAATTTTCTAAAAAGGACTGCCCCTCTATATAAAAAAGCAATATTAACCTACCTTGTTTTCGAACATCTTCTACAGCAGCCACAAGCTCCTCCTTAAGAAACTGACTCTCCTTTGCAATTTTATCCCCTTTCTCCAAGAAATTCTCAGTTGCTTGTTCAACAGATGCAGCCAAAACATGGGCCTTCTTAGAACGACCTCTCTTCTTATTAGAGGGTCCCTTACTATTGGTGTTTACCAGAGTCGTAACCTAAAAGTTGCATTTTAAAAAATTAAACTACAGGCAATTAAGATAAAAATAACAGAAAGACTAATATCTTCAAAATAGCAAAAATAAATTATTCATAACAAGTATCACATTTATGACATTTCATCAAGCATTAAAAAATAATATAAACTCTCTCAATGTTTAAAGTATAAAGCAATATACTCTATTTAGTTTCTCAAATAATTTAACTCTTAGAAGATAGAAAATACTTTAATTCCTCAAACATGAATATTAGATTTTCGTTACCTTATAAATCAAAAACTGACTAGAAACAAGTTAGAAATCTCTACCCTTGTGTCATTAAGAAGTTGCAGGGGGTCGGGAAGAGTAAAATAGGGTAAGGAGGATAAATGGTGATGAAAAGAGACTTAACTTAGGGTGGTGAACACACAATACAATATACAGATGATGTATTTTTGAATTGTATACCTGAAACTTGTATAATCTTATTAATAAATGTCCCCAACAAATTCAATTTAAAAAAAAAAAGTTCCAGAAAGAGGTCAACAATGAATTCAGTTTTATCTGAAAGTCACATTTTTCCCATTTTCAACCTGTGCAAAATATTTTAAGATAACTTACTTATAAAATATTTTTACAGTTTCTTCATACAAATATCAGCAATTAATTAGTGGAGACCCTTAAGAACAAAAGGAACAACTGCCCAAAGTAGCCTATCACAATGGTATTTTGAGTCCAAGAACAGTAACCATCATAAATACATATCCTACATAATAATCCTATATAATAAAGATGTAATATGCAAATTGATCGTCACACCCTCGTACAAGATGGCCGGCAGGGGAGGACAGTTGTGGGTGATCAGGCAGGCAGGGGAGGGCAGTTAGCGGCGACCAGGCCTACAGGGGAGAGAGGGCAGTTGAGGGGGACCAGGCCGGCAGGGAAGGGCAGTTAGGGGTGGCCAGGCCAACAGGGGAGTGCAGTTGGGGCGATTGGGCCAGCAGGGGAGGGCAGTTGGGGGCGATCGGGTTGGCAGGGGAGCAGTTATGCATCGATCAAGCTGGCAGGGGAGTAGTTCGGAGTGTTCAGGCTGGCAGGCAGAAGCAGTTGGGGGCAATCAGGCAGGCAGACAGGCAGGCAAGCAAGCAATGGAGAGCCAGCAATCCCAGATTGTGACTGGGATCAGGCCTAAACCGGCAGTCGGACATCCCCCAAGGGGTCTCAGATTGGAGATAGTGCTGGCTGGGCTGAGGTACATTCCCCGTTCCGCTCCCTTCCCTCTTTCCCCTCTCCTCCCCCCACCCCCCAGTGCACGAATTTCATTCACCTGGCCTCTAGTAATACTAGAAAATCTATAGGATGAAGATGACTGAAGATTTGTTATTAATCTGTCACACAAAAGACTTACTGAGAGTGAGTAGATGGGCTCCAAGAAAATAAATATACCTGAGTCTTACCACACACTCCTACGTATTTTAAAAATTATATATGTGCAACGCACATGTGTATATACATGCACTATTTATATTTATCAGTTGAAATGGAATTTTTAAGAAAGCACATGCCACATTTTTACTTATTTACCCCTCTCTCTCTCTCTCTTTTCTCTCTCACTCACACTAGTCAAATGTGCCAGAACACTAAAAGTGCATAAGTAGTTGCTAACAGTTAATGAAATGCCACCCCGTTATGATATTTGTATTTGTAACAGAGCATACCCAAACAACACCCTCAAATTAAATTGCCTGTTAAGAGACAGTGAAAGGTATTAAACAGGTGTTAACAGTCAAGATTCCACATCACATCCTTCTTGGATATATGTTCCAAGTAAATAGTAATGCCAAGAAAATGTCCACAAAGTCCAAATATTTGGAAAGTTGCATTACATACCACTAGCCCATATTGCTGCCATTAAGACTAAAAAAAGGCAGAAGCAACTAAAAGGTTGTTTCTAAAGGGTTAAATGATATCATACATCAATATTTCATTACTAGAGGCCCGACGCATGAGATTTGTGCAAGGGTAGGCCTTCTCAGCCACAGCTTCATCTAGAAGGTCATCCAGACGATGGTTCCACTGTTGGACCGTTTGGTCAATTTGTATATTATACTTTTATTATTATAGATTATTATAGATTAAAGGAGCCAAATAATCTAAGCACTATTAACCTAATGCTCAAACACTCAAATTAAACCTTTGAACTAAATAACTGTTCTGTTTGTTACTGCTATGGAACAATGTTACAATAACTATGTATGAATTTGTTTTCTGTGTAACAAGATTACCTGTGTAACAAGAGGCTCCAACAGTCTTTCTACGGCCAGAGTCCTGATCTCTAGACTTTTGGGGTCCCATTTGAAGTTTATGTTGCCTGTGTGAACAGCAGTCATTTCTAAAAGAAAAACAAAAAGTCAGTGTCAGACAAACACCAACACAAACATGAAATATGTAACAAATCTCCTACTTTTACATCAGGAAAGCTACATTCACCACAAGATGGACAAAATTCTTACTAGCCTGTACATGAGGACCCAATGACACAACTTTTTAAGATTTCGAGTTTACAAAGATTAGGGGTACTATAAGAACATATAGAGCTTTTCCCTTTGGGTTTCTCTGGCACCAAAGGATTTCTTTCAGTTTTCCACGCCAACTTAGAAGTAGGATAAAAAGCTAAAGTGAATGAGCCCTAATACAAAAGATTCTCATTTTGAAAATCATCAATCAGTTGCCTCCTGTATGCTCCCCAAACAGGGATCAAACCCAAAACCCCACATGTGCCCAGACTGGGAATCAAACCCACCACCTACCTTCTTCTTGACAAAGTTCAGCAATCTAGCCACATTGGCCAGGGCTATAGTACATTACCTAAACTAGAAGCCCAGTGCATGAATTCATGAATGGATGGGATCCCTCTGGGTAGCCTGCAGGTATGAGGCCGAAACCCGCAATCCAACACCACCTGCAGCTCCTACATGCCGCTCCTGCTCATCCAGGCCCCACTGTGCCTGCCAAGGACTCCTGTCCAATCAGTCCCAATCGGGAGAGGCTTGCAATGCTCACTAGCCATGAGCCCTGCATCTGGCACCTTCCCTAGGGGAGTGGTCTGCGGGATTGGGCTGAAACCAGCTCTCCAACATCCCCTAAGGGGTCCCAGATTGCGAAAGGGTGTAGGCCAGGCTGAGGGACCCCACTGGTTGTCAGTGCACATCACAGTGAGCGGTTTAGCAGCCTTAGCATATCATTAACATATTATACTTTGATTGGTTGTTCGGTTGTTCTGCCATTCAGTCTATTTACATATTACCCTTTCATTATATAGGACTAAAGCCCAGTGCACAAAATTTGTGTATGGTAGGGGAGGGTCCCTCAGCCTTGCCTGCACTCTCTCCAATCCAGGACCCCTGAGGGGATGTCCAACTGCCAGTTTAGGCCAGATCCCGCAGTCGGAAATCCCACCTCACAATCCGGGATAACTGGCTCTTAACCACTCACCTACCTGCCTGATTACTCCTAACTGCCTCTGCCTGCCTACCTAATCATCCCCAAATGCCCTCCCCTGCCGGCCTAATCGCCCCTAGCTGCCTCTGCCATGGCCCCCACCATCATGGCTTTGTCCTGAAGAAAGTCAGATGTCCGGAAGAGAGAAATGGAAAGTGGAACAGAAAGTTAGATGAAGAGGGAAAAGAGTGAGAGAAGAATGACAGGAGAAGGACAAGGAAAGGAGGGAAATGGGGGGAAAGGGACAGGATGGGAGAACGGATGAAGAGAATGAAAGGGATAGGAGGAGAGGAGAAGGGAGGAGAAATAAGAGAGGAAGGGGAAAGTGAAGAAGGTAAAAGGAGAACAGAGGAAGAGAAGTGACAGATATCTTGAAATGTGGCTAATGTGGCTGAGGAATCGATTTTTTAATTTTATTTCATTTTAGTTAATGCTAAAATCTGTATTTAAATAATGACCAGAAAAAAGATTATAAAATGACGACTAGCCAAAACTGGTTTGGCTCAGTGGATAATGTCAGCCTATAGACTGAAGGGTCCCGGGTTCGATTCTGGTCAAGGGCATGTACCTTGGTTGCAGGCACATCCCCAGTAGGGGGTGTGCTGAAGGCAGCTGATGGATGATTCTCTCTAATCAATGTTTCTAACTCTCTATTCCTCTCCCTTCCGCTCTGTAAAAAATCAATAAAATATATTTTTAAAAGAAATAAAGAAAAGCACATGTCTATGACTAGTCCACTCTTAACGACTTTAATATAAAAATATCTGTATAGCCCTAACCGGTTTGGCTCAGTGGATAGAGCATTGGCCTGCAAACTGAAAGGTCTCAGGTTCGATTCTGGTCAAGGGCATGTACCTTGGTTACAGACACATCCCCAGTGGGAGGTGTGCAGGAGGCAGCTGATCAATGTTTCTCTCTCACCGATGTTTCTGACTCTCTATCCTTCTCCCTTCCTCTCTGTAAAAAATCAATAAAATAATTTTTTTTAAAAATAGCTGGTGTTGCTCAGTGGATAGAGCATTGGCCTGCGAACTGAAGGGTCCTGGGTTTGATTCTGGTCAAGGGCACATGCCTGCGTTGTAGGCTCAATCCTCAGTAGGGGTCATGCAGGAGGCAGTCAACTGATGATTCTCTCTCATCATTGAATGTTTCTGTCTCCTCTATCCCTTCTTCTCTGAAATCAATAAAAAATATATTTTTTAATGTGTATCATCTGCCATAAATGTATGCCTGAGTGACAATAAATAGGTGGACCCCGTTAGATGTTTCTGAAAATATCAGCACAGGTATCATTTAACATTTCACCAAGACATATCTAAACATCAAAAAATTCTAGAATCATTAGAGATGGAGTGCCAAAAAGAATTTAGATTTTGGATTTGCTTAATCTAGTAATACAGAATGTCAGTTTCCAAGGAATTTGTTCCATTCCAAGTGGGCAAATAACGCTCTCTACACTGATATGTCGGGCCTATACTTGGGTTTTTAAAGGTTATTTGTCCACTAATCTGATGAGCCCAAATCAGTAAACTTTAGAAGATGGAGTGCTTTGGATTGCTAAAGGGCTAATAACAGTTCAAGCAAATGTCATCAAATGTCACAGATAAGACATTTTAGAAAGAATAATTTATCCCATGGATTCTGCACTCCTGTATCCTAGCATTCCAGTCACTGCATCAACACAAATATAACAGAAAACTCCTCAAGTGTTGTAGGAGAGCCAAGAAATAAATGAAGCCAGCTGAAGTAGTCATGTGATCACATTTGTTTTAATTCTTAAACAAGTACAGCAAATAATTCGAGTTCCCAAAGAAATACAACCTTCTTTTTCTTCTTCTTCTTCTTGAAATAAAAAGCCTTCTTCAATAGCAGGAGCCCAGGGAAGGACAGTAGTTAGCTAAACCCCAACTGGGAGCAAAGCCCTAGGTTTGAGGACTGTACTTTTGAAAACCAGCAAATCAAGCAGCATACACACGCATTCCTACTGCTTCAGAACCAAAGCTCAAGCCCTTGTCCTACATAAGCAAAACCAGTGCGGCCCAGTTGGGCGAGTCATCCCATGTGCTAAGAAGTTGCAGGTTCTGTTTAGCTCACATGCTCAGGTTTCAGCTCGAGCTCCAAGAGGGGGCATGCAAGAGGCAGCTGATATAAGTTTATCTCTCATGATGTTCTTCTCTCTCCCTCCCCCGCCTCTCTCTCTGAAAATCAATAAACTTATTTTTTAAAAATAAAAAAACCTGAGAACCAAGACGAGCATTCTGGTCTAAGAAACAGGGTCTCAGACTTTGGGAAGCTGCGGAGGAGAAGGAAGACTGTTTGGAGATACCGGGAAGGAGAAGGAAAGAGGGAGGAAGCTGCCCAAGGTGAGCCTGCAAAGAATGGGCCAGCCCCATCAGGGAAAAGGGCGTCTGATACTTAAAGAAAAACTAGGTTTATCTTAGAGAAAGAACAAGACTCCCCTGAAGATCTGTACAGCCCTGGCCAGGGGTTTGAGCATCAGCCTGTAAACCGAAGAGTCGTGGGTTTGATTCCCAATCAAGGACAAGTACCTCGGGAGCAAGTTCCAGAGCCCTGGTAGGGGCATTTGCGGAAGGCAACCAATCCATGTGTCTCTGTCACATCAATGTTTCTTTTTCTTTCTCTCTCTCCCCCCTCCTTCCTCCCTTCTATTTTTTCTAGAAATCCATGTAGAAAAATATCCTTGAGTGAAGATTAAAAAGATTTCGACAGCCCAGCTGGCATAGCTCAGTGGTTGAGCATCAACCTAATGCACCAAGAAGTCGCTGGTTTGATTCCCAGTTAGGGCACATACCCAGATTCCAGGCTCAATCCCCTATGTGTTTGTGTGTTGGAGGGTGCAGGAGGCAACCAATCAATGATTCTCTCTCATCACTGATGTTCCTTTCTCTCTATCCTTCTCCCTTCCTCTCTGAAACCAATATATATTTTTAAAAAAAAAATGTACAGATGTTGATAATTTAAAGGTTCTCGTTTTTAAAAAGCCTTCTTGGTCTTCTATTTTCCAAATTTTGATACTTTGGGGTACAAAATAATTTCACTTTCTTCTTAATTCTAACAAAGGCAAAGTGTAAGCACAATAATGAATTGCCAATGACATCTGACTCAGAGGAGACTCTTAGGAGGGACTAGGACTCGTTAATCAGGAAAACATGACCAGCAGCCCATCAGATCTAAACAATCTTTATGATGTAGTAGCTCTAGGGTTAGCAAGTCATCCAATTTTTCAATAGATGCAGATTTTTATGTGAAATCTTCCAACTTTAACATTAGCAACTAGTTTCAAAAAATTTTACCATTGTGTGGGACAAGCAAAGGTGCCGTTTGTCAATACTTTGCAACCACTGAACAAGATTCTCCCCTAAAATCCCTTCCATTTCTATATTCCAGAACTTTATATTCCCTTAAGTAATTAATATCTCTGAGAAGTCTCTAGCCTCCCCCATAAAAATTCAACAGATGCAGGCTCCCACTAAAAGTGTTAAGGCAAAGGACTCAATCACCAACTTCAAGAAACTTGAAATATACTGACACTTGAAAACTGGAAACCCATTCAGTGTGTTTTCAAGTCTTTCAATTACCATCATGGACGTAAACTGCCTTGTATGGCATCTTTAATCAAAGGCCCTGCCAAGAATGATACTGAGCCAAAACCGGTTTGGCACAGTGGATAGAGCGTCAGCCTACAAACTGAAAGGGCATGTACTTGATTGAGAGCACATCCCCAGTAGGGGGTGTGCAGGAGGCAGGTGATTGATGTTTCTATCTCTCTCTCCCTTCCTCTCTGTAAAAAATCAATGAAGTGTTTTTTTAAAAGAATAATACTGAACATTATTAAACTAACGAGCCAAGTTATGCTTTTGGTGACCCC